CTTTTCTGTTCAGAGAGTTGTTGCTATTCCTTTCTTCGATCTCCCGTTGAGTTTGTAGGTGTTCAGAATGGTTTGATCCCCATCCAGCTGAATTCCTGAGAGGAGACGAAATCCAGGTCTCCTACTCCTCTGCCATCTTGCTCCGCCCCCATCTTAGTTTTCTTCTTATCCCCACTTCCCACTCCAATGAATTCAACAACGTAATGAATTCTATAATGTATTTCTACCATCAACTCAATCACAGAAACATAATGTAATAGAGGTTGGAAGAAAGAGAAGAGAAAGTTTCTGCTCCCTTGTAGACTGCACTCCATTCTGGATAAAAACAGCTCTATATGATATTTTACAATATAAGAACTGATTTAAGAGTACAGAATCACGAGATGACTAATGGCCTAATTGCAAAGAAGGAAGAAAGGGATGTGGGCCAAAAAGGTCACGTGACATTTTAGGGCCATGCTGGAGCAGGAAGCAAGTCTTGAAGCGTGGGTGTGATTTGCTCCAGACAGAATGGAGCAAGACAAAGCAGAGAATACAAATAACAAAGAAGGACCAATTTGCAAACTTTACACCATCACTATGAAAGTAACTCAGGTATTTTTTACCAACATTTTAAGATAAAAGAGCAACAAGAAACAGCCATAAGGTCACATTTCAGATCAGATTTCCCTTTCATGGAACTCAACTGAGCCCCTAACTGCCATCACTTAGGAGAGGGATTAAAATTCAGTTAATCACAAGGGATTAATTAGTTTTTGAGGTAGTAGCCACTTATAATGAACAGAAAATATAATAATGAAAAAGTTATTCAGAATAAAAAAATTATTTCAGAATAAAAAGGTTCAAATACTGTCTTTAGAAAAAAATTTTCTTAACTTAGTGATTCAGCTATTTAACATTTTTCCAGATGTAAAGGAAACAAGGCAAGCAAATTAAACAAGAAAAATTAATAACCACCTTGAATATTCCAAGAATTAGCAGGAATACATTTTTAGAAAAGATGAAAATAAGAACTTTTTTTATAAAATAATTAAGACGCAGAGCACTGAGAACAAAATCCAAACCTCTTACACTGCCCCAGACATCCTGGTCTTAGGCCAAGCCCAGTTCTCGCCCCATCTCCTACAGCTGGAACCTTCCCCTCTACACTCCTGCTGAACCGGCCTTTACTGTCATTTCTGTTCCTTGAACACTCCCAACTTTGCTCTCATCTCAGATACTTGGACTGACTGACTGTTCCCCCGACGTGGAATAGTATTCCTCCAGAGACTTCAAGGCTGGCTCATCCCGAGGTTTTCAAGATTCTCAGCACAAAGTTCCCCTGCTCAGAGGGCTTCCCTGACCACCTGTCAATGCTGGTAATCCCCTTCCCACCCCCGCTCAACAAGGCTTCTGTACACACCTTCTTTCTCCTTCATAAATCACTCTTTGAAATTATTTCGTGTTTGTTTGTTTGTTTGTTTTATTAATGGACTGGCTGGCCACCAAAATGCAGTATATGCTCTGTTAGCCATTTGTATGTCTTCTCTGGAGAAAAGTCTGTTCATGTCTTCTGCTCATTTCTTGACTGGATTTTTTAGGTGTTGAGTTTGTTAAGTTCTTTATAGATTTTGGATACTAGCCCTATGACCCAGCAATTGCACTACTAGATAGTTATCCAAAGGATACAAAAATAGTGATTCAAAGGGCACATGCACCTCAATGTTTATAAAGCAATGTCCACAATAGCCAAAATATGGAAAGAGCCCAGATGTCCATTGACAGATGAATGGATAGAGAAGATGTGGTATATATATATATACAATGGAATACTACTCAGTCATCAAAACAAATAAAATCTTGCCATTTGCAATGACATGGATGGAACTAGAGGGTATTATGCTGAGTGAAATAAGTCAATCAAAGAAAGGCAATTATCATATGATTTCACTCATATGTGGAATTTAAGAAACAAAACAGGTGAACATTGGGTAAGGGAAGGAAAAATAAAATAACATGAAAACAGAGAGGGAGGCAAACCATAAGAGACTCTTAACGCTAGGAAACAAACTGAGGATTGCTGGAGGGGAGGTGGGTGAGGGAATGGGGTAACTGGGTGATGGGCATTAGGAGGGCACATGATGTAATTACCACTGGGTGTTATATGCAACTGATGAATCACTAAATTCTACCCCTGAAACTAATAATAAACTATATGTTAACTAAATTTAAATAAAAAAATTTTTTAAATGATTATAAAAAAAATGTAGTATTTGCTCTGTGAGAAAAGACGTTGTCAGTCTGACTTACTGCTCTGCCCAGGGTTGGGACATGGTAGGTACCCAAAACTACTTCTTAAATAAATAAGCAAGTCAGACTTCTGCTCTGACAGGAACAGAAGGACTCAAGAATCACAATAAATGTTTCAATTAAATATGCAGATTAACAAACCGCTGGAAGAGACTTCAGCGAAGAGCTAAAATCCTATTTCTGGATATTCCTGAAACAGATTTTGTTTTCAAGGATTCACATATATTGGTAATAACATTCTTAGTAATATTTCCATTGTGCGTGGATTTGATGATACAATGATGTATTTTTAAGATTTTATTTTTAAGTAATCTCTATACCCAGTGTGGGCCTCAAACTTACAACCCCAAGGATCAAGAGTCACATGCTCCACCAAATGAGCCAGCCAGGTGCCCCTGATATAATGAGATTTTTAAAAGAGAGATTATAAATGCATTTAAAAATTCAACGGCATCATCAAAATGGAAGACCAACCTGCTGTTCATATTGTTGTTTGACATCCTCCAGCTGCCGTAAAAACTCCTTTGATTGTTTCTCACGAAGAGACTTGGATCTAGTTAGATCTGCTTCCACTTTTTCCATCTATAAAATTTAAAAATCAAATATATTTTTTAAACAAAAAATTAATTATATTCCATGTTTTTGTAATTTGTCCATTCATTAAAATGGCAGATTTTACACACCCCCTATCCATCATAATGGTGAATTTAAAAATGATAAGATAACAAAAGCTATATCAATTTATTTACATATATTTAATAGTTTAAGTCAGGGAAATTAACACTGGTATATAATTGACTATATTCTAATGTTATAATAACATTGTAATGGAAATATAATTTTGAGCATTCAAATATTTATTCAACAAGAATTTTTAAGGCCTTGGCATGTGGTGAATGGGGAAAAATATTTGCAAGTCATATATCTGATAAGGGACTTGTATCAAGAATATATAAAGAGGGGGGGCGGAGTAAGATGGCGGAGGAGTAGGAGACCTGGCTTTCGTCTCCTCTCAGGAATTCAGCTGGATAGGGATCAAACCATTCTGAACACCTACAAACTCAACAGGAGATCGAAGAAAAGAAGAGCAACAACTCTCT